CGATGTCTTAACTATCCTTGGTAGGATTTGTGAATCTTGAATCGTGTTTTTAATCCAACTTTGTGATTCGTTGGATTGATCTGAAGTCTATGATGTTCGTATGAGCCTTTATGATTATCTTGATGAATTGCATGCTAGCTATGTTGTTCGTTGGTACTAGTATGTGATTTCCTCGTAATGATCTTGCCTATTCTTGATGAGGATTGGTGACTTGTGTTTACCAATCGTGGTGGTCTTTTGATTTGGAAGTCTTTCGTTATTGTGGCAATACCTTAGAATGTTTTCTTCGTGTTCTTCTTGAATTCCTTCGATTGAATATATCATTGTGAGCTTGTACAATCGTTGTACTTAATCATGATTATTCCTTGATTGGACTATTGTTGAGCCTTGATTATCTATGTCGATGACTATATGATTATGATTACTATGAGATTGACGGTGATGAGCTTTGCTCAAAAGAATGAAAGCGGGCAGATATGTTATATTATGTATATAAAAGCTGGCGGATATGTTACATTATGAATGTTAAAAGCAGGCGGAGGAGCTTAGTTTCCACGGAGGTATAAGGTTGGACTGGTTGAACAGGGTGGCATGGAGGTACAGGTTGGAACTGTTATAAGGTTGGAGTGGTGTAAAGGTTGGAACTTGGTTATTGATTGTGTTTCTTTTATCTCTTTGCTAATGAGTATATCTTTATGTGACCTTTTGATGATTGTTTATTGATTACCTCTCCTTGATGGTTACTCTTGTAGTGTATCATTGTCTCTTTGAATTGATTCTATTGATTAGTCGTGCATTGGTCGGTATGATTGAGTGTGTCATTCGATGAGTCAAATGATACTTCTATCTCTCATGTTTAAAAGCTAGTGTTGCTAAGACTATACTTATGTATTCTTCAAGGGCTTGCACTGGATTCGAAGCCTATATATATATATATATATATATATATATATATATATATATATATATATATATATATATATATATATATATATATATATATATATATATATATATATATATATAGGCTTCGAATCCAGTGCAAGCCCTATGATATATGAGATCATGAGATCTCATGATATCCATTGATTCATTTTATTATCACACCATAGTCAAGGAGGAGACGCAGGTGGGATGCCGATCTCGTGTAACAGAGAAACAAGCCATGTAACCTCAGCAGATACATCAGCCAGGCCCTTGTATTCTGCTTCAGTTGAAGAACGTGCTACTGTCCGTTGCTTCCGACAAACCCAAGATATAAGATTACTGCCCAAGAACACAGCAAAACCACTAGTAGACTTGCGATCATTCGGGTCGCCAGCCCAATCTGAGTCAGAATAGGCATGAATATCCATTGATGCAGACCGAGAAATACACAGACCAAGATGCAGGGTGCCTTTGACATATCGCAGGACTCTTTTTAGAGAGGCCCAGTCCGTAGTAGTGGGAGCATGCATATGTTGACACAAGAGATTAACAGCATAAGACAGATCAGGATGAGTTACCGTAAGATATTGGAGAGCACCAACAAGACTTCTGTATTCTGTTGGATCGGCATAGGCAATGGCAACGTCGTCGGTGGGCTTCGCGGTAGAGACAGGCGTGACCACTGGCTTACAATCCACCATGCCAGCACGTTTGAGAATATCTTTCATGTACCGTTGTTGAGATAAAAGCATACCACCAGATAATGGGACAGTTTCAATTCCCAAAAAGAAAGAAGGCACACCCATATCACGAACTTTAAACTCAAGTGCTAATTTATCAATAAGAGCAGTAACCCAGTCTGAGTCAGACCCCATAATCAAAATGTCATCAACATACACCAAGAAATAAAGACGAACATTGTCACGAGAATAGATAAAAAGAGACACATCCGTCTTTGAAGGCGCAAAGCCCACAGAGACTAGAAAATCATGTAACCTTGTGAACAATGCACGCGGAGCCTGTTTGAGACCGTAGAGAGATTTCTTAAGCAAACACACATGATCAGGTAATGACTGATCCTCATAACCAGGTGGCTGGCGCATGTAAACAGTCTCAGCTAGCTCGCCATTTAAAAAGGAGTTGTGAATATCCAACTGGCGAATAGACCACCCACGCGATACAGCTAAAGACAAGAGAAGACGTATCGTAGTAGGCTTAACCACAAGACTAAATGTCTCAAGAAAAGTTCTCTCCAGCAACCTAATTAAAACCCTTGGCCACCAACCGAGCTTTATGACGTTCTATTGAACCATCAGTCTTTCGTTTTGTCTTGAAAACCCACTTGCAACCAACAACATTCATACCTGGTTGAGATGGAACAAGACGCCATGTATGATTATGGACCAAGGCATTGAACTCCGCGTCCATTGCATCACGCCACTCAGGAAACTTGACCGCCTGAGAGTAACATGTAGGCTCAGGAACCAGGGTAGAAATAGTGGTTAAGGCAACATGTTGATGCGGACCCGAGCTACGAGTGTTCATGCCATGCGACCGAGGAGGCGAAGTGACTCGCCAAGGACGTCCGCGCGGTCTGCCGCGCTGCTCAACCTGCTGGTCCGAGACAGTCCGCTCACTTAATGCGGACTGCTCGTGACCATCACCGTCACCATGGCCAGAAGCCAACACTGGCTCGTCAATCTGCCGAACGCCATCAACAAAGGTGGCTGAGACATCATTCTCTCGGCTCGTCACAATCGGTGCAGTGGCCCACGGTCCGGAACGTGGCTTAGAAACCTGTGAGGCAATAGGAGAAACAAAAGGAAACACAGCCTCATCGAATCGCACGTGGCGACAGATAAAAACCTTGTTAGTGTTAGTGTCCAGACAACGATAGCCACGATAAGACGGGGGATAGCCTAGAAAAACACAGGGAGATGAACGAAACTGGAGTTTATTGCGATTATAATGACGGAGGACAGGAAAGCACAAACAACCAAACACTCGCAAGTAAGAGTAGGACGGGGGAGATCGATGCAAACGGAAGTGAGGGGACTCATCAGACAGAATACGAGTAGGCATCTTATTAATTAGATATACAGCAGTTTCAAAAGCATAGTCTCAAAAACGAGACGGAACAGAGGCTTGAGCCATTAAAGACAGCCCTTTCGCAACAACATGACGATGTCTGCGTTCCACTCGACCATTCTGCTCGTGAGTATACGCACAGGACTGCCTGTGACGAATACCCAGGGAAGCTAGAGTGGAACCAAACTTTTTATATTCTCCCCCTAAATCAGAGTGAAAGGAAATAATCTTGCGAGAAAAAGAACGTTCAACGAGTGACCGAAACTTATCAAATATAGCATACAAGTCAGATTTAGCACGCATAGGATAATACCATATATAACGAGTGTAATCATCCACAAACAACACAAAATATTTATAGCCAGACGCAGAAAGTAATGGCACCGGGCCCCAAATATCTGAATAAATTAATTCCAAAGGATGCATACTAGTAGTTTCGACACGAGTCAAAGAAAAACGATAGGATTTTCCCAATTGACAAGAAGAATAGACATTAGGAAGATCACTAGAATTAGATGTATCAATAGACAAAGACGCTAAAATCTTACGTAGGACTCGAGAATGAGGATGCCCCAACCGCATGTGCCAAACGTAAGAGGATCGCGCAGCAACAAACGCAGCAGGAGCTGAGGAGGACGCAGACCATGTGTAAAGACCCCCAGATGCATGTCCCTTAAAAAGAACATTCCTGGTCAAAATGTCCTTCACATAGAAACAAAGGGGGTGAAACTCAAAGAACACATTATTGTCCTTTGCAAAACGCTGGACAGATAATAGAGAAGAAGAGAGACCAGGGATATGTAAAATATTATGTAACTTAAAAGACCTAGAATCAGTAGCTAACGAAGCGGAACCAACATTAACAATAGGCAAACCTGTACCACTGCCGACTCGCAGAGTCTCCAGGCCATCATAACTTGTCGCAGAAGTCATCAAAGAAGGATCAGGCGTAGCATGATTTGTAGCACCAGTGTCAGGGAACCACTGATGAGGACCGTTGGAATCACCATTATCACCAGAGACGGCCACATTAGCCTGAAAACCCAGAGCCCCTGAATAACGCCAAAAATAGTTGGCTCCCGTGTGACCAAAATGTTTACAAATTTGATAAGGATCATCATAGCGCCAAAAACAATTGGCTCCCGTGTGACCAAAACGTTTACAAATTTGACAGGGATCATCATAACGCCAAAAAAAATTGGCTCCTGTGTAACCGAAACCATTACAAATTTGACATGGTTCATTAAAATCACGTATGCTATGTTGCTGATGTCGATGACGACTGTCCCGGTTGTGTCCATAAGCACGTTGCCGCCAGCTAGGTTTCAATTCTGCCATCAATTCTGTTGCTAATTGTTTTTGTTGTTGACGTGATGATGGAGAATGGGTTTTTTTTTTGTTGACATGTTGCAACCACCTTTTGCAAATAAACTTCTTTTGTTTGCTTGTGGGTGTTTTTTGTTGACCTTTTTTTTGTTTGTTTGGCAATAGGAACCCTAGCTAACTGATACCAGATGAGAATATAATTGTGTTGTATTCAATAATAATGTCTGAGAGTACAGAGAGCGAATATATAGATACTAGATAGAATCTTAGTCTAACACAAATAATAGAGTCCTAGTCTGATATGAATAATATAGTCCTAATAGGTTGAGATTGAAAGATTCTTTTAAACTAATTATGGACATTTTTAAAACATAAGGATTAAAAAGTAATTCTAGTATTGAGTTTATTTTTGGTTAGTATTAAATTGTAATCTTGAGCATAATATTAGGTAGAATATTAAAGGTAATAACTAGTGATAATTTGTATTGAGAGCTGATATTTTTAATTGATTATGTACGACGGTATGTGCGTGTATGTAGTATCGCGTGTGCAAATCGTATGGTTGAGTTTTTTTTTTTTTTTGGTAATTTTACGAAAATAGTTTATATGTGTGTGTGAATTTATGTATATGGGTTGATTTTAAAGAAGAAGATTGTAAGAGTAGTACGTGTAGTTTTTTTTTTTTTTTTTTTTTTTGGACACCGGAGATGAACTTACGGAGGTATGCGAATATGTACTCCGGCGTGTGCAAAGCTTAGGGATTGGTGCGTTACTTCATATGGGCGTGTGCAAAACACTCTAGGGCTGGGAAGTCACTAATGTATCAAGTGTAACAATTAATAACTCTGGGTACACCACTATAGGGTGGTGTGTGCATTTGTGTAGTATGATATGTGCAAATTTTTGGTAATGAAACTTTTCGTCATATGTGCAGATGGTGTGTACATTTGTGTGGGATGACGTGTGTAAATTTCGTCATGTTTTTTTTTTTTTTTTTTTTTTTTTTTTTTTTTTTTTTTGTGATGCGATGGTGGTTGCACTTATGTAGGTGAGCGTGTGAAAAGTCTAAAAGTTCACGTCGCCATTAAGTTCATTAGTAATTTTAATTTTGATTTATGGTGCGCCGGTGAGAGCGTTTATGACGTTTGGCGTGTGCAAATTTTGATTGTATTTTAATTTTGGTTTAGTTGCGTAGGTGTGTGCGTGCCTGGCATGGGGTGTGTGCATAGGCCTATTAAACCACATTCATTAGCTATTATTAATCTGTCCGAACATATCAGTGTGTGCATGGCGGTTAACAGAATGTGCATTTCACTGAGGAAAGGAGTGTAATGACCGTGTGTGTGCATTCACGGTGTTAGATGTGTGCGTTATGCTGAAAGAGTCCGAAGAACAATTAAACTAAAGGAAGATAACAAGTAAACAAAGTAGATAGAGGCTAGAGTTAAATGTATATATTACGCTGAAGGATTACATTACGAACATGCATAAATAAATATGTGCAACGACTCCCCAACAAAATCATATCTTGGCTGACAACTTAATCTCAATGATTTCCCAATTTCATCCTTAGCATACAATGAAGTCAATGAGAAATAAGGAATTTGAGACCTCCACCTCCTTGAATTATAATACTTCACCTAAGTAAGTAAATGGATTAAGTTAAAGAAACATGCAATAAAGAAATATGGAGTACACACACACATTACTGAATTGGTGAATCACGGTAAACCCAAGATTTACCCCCTCGACATGATCAAAGGATTTCAAAGCTACACATTCTACTGAAACTCTCCCAAGCCTGCAAAACCATTGATGCCAAACCTACAACTCTGATTTGAAAAAGAAAAAATCTCCTATATTCTAAACAACCAACATAAGAAAATAAAAAATAAACATTTAATGCCAAGTCCAGATTAATGCAACACGCACAAAGTGAGGCACCACTACGCACAGACCAGGTAACCAAACATTCTAAGCCCCATAACCTGCTAACATAACATAATATTGTGCACACACTAAAACAAGAACGCACATACCATGCAATTTTAAAATAATAAACCTGTAATGCCAAGTCCAGATTAATGCAACATGCACATAGTGAGGCACCACTACGCACAGACCAAGCAACCAAACATTCTAAGCCCCACAAACTTTCAAAAATTAGGATTAAATTTAAACTATTTTTTGACAATTGACTTTTATGAATGAAAATGTCTATATATAAATTGAACTTTTTTTTTTTTTTTTTTTGTGTAATTCAACTTTATAACTTTAATTGAACTTCACCTATGCGATGTAAATAAGATGACCGGCTCAAGCCACTTCCACATTAACCGTACCGGAAGTCTCAACTCTTTCCCACTATCAGTACAAACATGCATATAATTAGTCATTTAAGACCAGCAATGCCAATTAACAACAACAAATCTACACTAACCTGCACACGGTGACAACCTACTACGCACAAACCAAACAAAAACCGTAAAAATAATAAACAACACAAATAATCAACAAATTCGCATATACTTTGACTTCAATTCTACAAATTATTATATTGCACATAAAATTAAACCGACCCTTTACTACTAACGCCACAGCCTACTACGCATCAACCAAACCAAGACAACACGGTATCCTGCCAAAAAGCACAAAAAAAAAAAAAAAACACCACCAAAATTCAAACAGTTTTCACAAAAAAAAAAAAAAAATAACAACAACAAGAACATTTACTAACTGCAACATTCCCTATTACGCACACGGTAACACCTTACAACGCACATTCCAAACCAGGCCACCCTCTAACCCGCGAAAAAATACAAAACAAAAACCCTAAAAATAATATACAACACAAATAATCAACACAAATTATACACACACTGAACCCCCAAAAACCACAAGACAAAAATCATAATAATAACAAACAACCACAAAGAAAAAAACCATTATGTTAAGAAAAACTCCAACACCACCAGAACACCCATATCCAAAAAAAAAAAAAAAAAATGAAACCCTAACCAATAAATCGTACACCCCTCACAACCACACCCGCACCGCCTCCCCCAACCCAAACCCAACCGAATGCACGACCACCACCTCTGTGAAAACCCAAAAAAAAAAAAAACAAAAATAGAACTACCCAGACGAACAAGACAACAAACGAAATCCCACCCCAAACTCCCTACTGAACACTATCTAACCCACAAACCGCCGGAAAAAACCCACGAAACAAACAACAAAAAGAAGAAAAAAGGGTACAAGAAATCGATTCAAAAAATACCTGAACTGGAAGCGGAAGATATACCACGAAGTCGCTTGGACTGCCACCTGCTGGAACCAGCCATGAACACCGCCGGGAAAACGTGAGAAGCGAATGGACGACGAACGGATTCGGAGAAGACGGATGATTCGAGAACGTTGCGTGCCAGAGCAAGGGGAGAGAGAAAACCTAAATACCTATTATGACTGCCTTAAACCCAAAATAACCGACGAAATAAGTGAGATGTAATATTAATGACAAATACAAAATACAAAAACACCCCTACCAATCTAATACTAAGCGCCTACGTGGTTTAAAATACCACATCATCAGCACCGTTAATATCTCAAAATCAACGATCAGGGAGTGTGCTCACGGGCTCGGCTGAGTAGGGGGTGCGCACCGGATTCAATATATATATATATATATATATATATATATATATATATATATATATATATATATATATATATATATATATAGGGTGAGCTTCAGGTGAGAACCATCTTAAGGTAGGAACGTAAGAACTAATCCAGGCCTTTGAATCTCATCTAATCAATGGGTTAGATTGATTAAACATTAATAAGGAGACAATTAATAGAAATAATTAAAAAGGATATTAGGGTAATTTTCAACACCAAACAATTGATAATTAATATTAAATTCATATCATCCCAATAATGTAGGAGATGCAACGCTCAAGGACTCTAATTTGTCTACAAATCACGGCACAACAACACTGCTCCAGAAAACTCTCCGACAACTCTTTGAGAATTCCGGCCGGCCAAGTGCAGCGAGAAGCATCTAAAGCAGCGGACTAAGTGATATCCGACGGTAGGAAAGATGGCAACAGAATACAACAATAGTAAGTGCAATCTATGAATATGTACACATGATTTTGTATGCAACTTAAATTGGGGGGTGTGGAATGGTAATGGATTGTTTATGCATACACTCAGGCATCACATTAAATGCAATGGCACTGTGCGCGGTTGCAAGCGAAAACAGTGATGTGCATGTCTTGCCCTACTGGGTTTGAACACCTAATGGGCATCACCCGAACCGCTGCGGGGCACACACTGCCCTAGGCATACGCAGCTATGTGCACCCACAATTAAGAGGAAGTGCACAAACGAACCCACATGTAGCATTATGTGCACACCAATCCGCCCATAAGGGCACAGACTTAGCCACAATGTCGGAGTAGTGATACTAACTTCTGCTCATGTCATAATCCCCGTAGTCCGGCCGCACGTGAGGCGGAGGGTGCACCTACGGTCCCATTACTGTGCCAACAGGGTGGTCAAACCCAGTGACCGTGCACTTTGGTTATAACCTGAGTGCCACACATGTCCAATACATATTGAACTAACAAATTTGCACCCCTTGACAGGTGAAGACGGCTTAACAGGGAAACCAACTGGGTGTTTGATGAACATCTCCCCCGGATCAACAAAGTACTGGACCCCACAGTGTGAAGCGGCCAAAACGCCTTTTGAGGGACAAGTGTTCACTACTTTGGAGGGAGGAATTGAGTTCTACAAAGCTTATGCCACTACTACTGGGTTTGATGTGCGGCGCGCTTCCGAAAAAAGGGATTGGCAAGGGCAAATCACGTGGAAGTATGTGTTGTGTTCACGTTCTGGCTTCAAACTCCCTACCGGCCAAGGGGACGGGGTAGGGGTGCTATCAGCCGAAGACAATGCCCCAACTAAAAGGCGCCGTGTCACGAATAGGGTGGGGTGCAACGCTAAAATAATATTTAAGAGAGTAAAGGACGGAAATGGTTATGAGGTATCGGCAATTGAGGAGCGCCACGCCCACTTGTTGTGCACTGCAGTTTCTAGGCCCTTCATGAAGGCAAACCGGAAGCTAGACCTTGGGCATAAAAACTTCATCATCAATTGTGCCAAGGCAAATATCGGGTACACCAAATCATTTACACTATATGAAGAGATGGTTGGAGGGTTTGAGAATGTTGGAGCTACAGTAACAGACTTCGGGAATTACAGAAGAGATATAATGGCTTACATAGAAGGCGCAGATGCCCAATTAGTGATTGACAAGTACATGGCAAAGAAAGATGTGTCCACCGACTTCTATTTTGCCCACGATGTTGATGAGTTTGACTAACTGTGTCGAATATTTTGGGCAGACCCACAAGCTCGCCATAGTTTCAAACTATTCGGCGATGTTATGTCCTTCGACGCCACATACAGTACAAACAGGTACATACCACACCCTACACCTACATTTATGCTCTCATAGACCAATGTTCACGGATGATGTTACAAAGTGAGTGCACAGAATTAGTGCGAATGGTTGCCCCGGTACCACAAATGGTCTCCAATGTGGCAGGACCACTTGGGGTGCACTCCCATTTAGGGTGATTGCTGTCTGCACTACAATAGACCATGGAGACTGGGCATGACCCTGCTGAGTGGGGCACTCAGTCTGACCCCATCGGGCACAGAGTCGGGGCCAGATGTGCACACCCCCAGAGGCTAGAAGTGCACACAGCGACCCAGTAAGCTAACCAGCTAGTTTTGCTACGCCTTTCTGTTTAACACTGTGCGGAAACCTAAAAACCAAAGCAATGCACGTTCGTGCCATACTGTGACATACAACATGGTGGCTTAGTGAACCACTCAACTTACTATGCTTCTATATTTACATTTAACCCCAAAGGGTAACTAGTGCGACAGAATCCGTTTGCTGTTACAACCATTTGAGTGTGTACTGTGTGCACATATGCCCATAAACGTTCGTGCACCTGACCATTAAAGGCAGGTGCACACAGCTAATGCCCATAACGCACTACGTCTCACAGTACATGAATAAGAATGTTCTGCTGTGCCTATCAGTTTCCTACGGGTCAGCATGAACACACTTTTTTTGCATAGTGGTTGTCCCCACCCCCACTTAGTAACTAACCATTAAATTTTTATACACCATGTGATGACTACAGGTACAAGCTGGTGTTTGTGCCATTCACCGGGGTGGATCACCACAAGAAGAGTGTGACATTCGCAGCGGGATTAATTGCCAAAGAAGATGTGGACTCCTACACCTGGCTGCTCAAACACTTCAAAAAGGCAATGGGTAAAGTACCCGCGTGCACAGTTACCGACCAAGATCCTGCAATGAGAGTGGCAATATCGCGTGTTTTTGATACAACACGCCACAGATACTGCATGTGGCACATCATGACAAAGGTTTGCGAAAAGGTAGGGCCTACATTAGCAAGGAACGAAGATTTCTTAAGAAGCCTAAACAGTGTGGTCTGGAATGAGACGCAAACAATTAGTGAGTTTGAAGCAGCATGGCAAACAGTAATGGAAAAACATGAACTGGTTGACCACAGATGGTTTACCCACTTGTTTGAGATACGTGAATATTGGATACCAGCATTCTTTAACGACATGTTCATGGGTGGCTTAATGAAAACAACCTCAAGGTCGGAGTCAGAGAACAACGTCTTCAATAGCTGCACTTCCCCACATCTAATTTTAACGGACTTCTTCATAAAGTTTGAGAAAGCAATAGACAAACAACGCCACACCCAAACAAGGCTAAACGCAGATTGTGAGGACAAATTCCCAGAGTTGAAGACAACTTTATTGCTAGAGCGTCAAGCTGCTACAACATATACAATTGCTGTGTTCTATGATGTCCAAAAAGAGATACTCGAAGCACGCTTCTCATCCCAAATCATTAACAAAACAATTGAAGGAAACACTATCAGACTTGAAATAGAGGATACAAACAAGATGGTGTACTCAGTGGAATACAATTCTACCACCCGGACAACACACTGCACATGCAATATGTTCAATAGGATTGGACTACAGTGTAGGCATGTGTTGTTGGCGTTTAAGGATGCACGTTTGGAAAGAATACCAGGACAATATATCACTCCACGATGGACCCGCAGTACATGTTGGCCATATGCACAACTTTATGCAAACCCCGAACTAGGCGAGCCTACAGAAGTTGTTAGTGGGGATACACGAATGGGTACCGTATTCGATGAGTTCTTCAAGTGTGTTGGGAACGCGTACGGTAACACTGATCGAATAACAGAGCTAGCACAAATATTGAAACAGTATAGAGAAAAGACAACAGAAAGCATGCCGCAAATGGAAACTAGAGCAAGGAAAAGTGGTATGATACGTAGCTTCTGTGGGTCAACCTCATCACCAAACATTTTGGTTCACCCCCCGCCATTGCAAAGAACAAAGGTTCGGGAAAGCGATTGAAATCAGCAAAGGAGATCGCATCGGATGTAGCTGGAAAGAATGTAAGGAAATGTAGGACTTGCAACAAGTACGGACACCATGATAGCTGCAACTGCGAGCTGCGACCAAAAAACCAAAAAAAAAAAAAAAAAACTGCCTAATGGAAAGAGGCCATATGTTGATAGTGAGCACCTGCGATGGACAGTGTGTGCCATTTAGCCCTACTGCATAACAGTTTTTTAACATCATTCTTTAGAAGTGTATTTGTGTACGAATAATTATCACAAAACTTGTTTTTACATATATCTATATACGTGACATCATGAATCTGTGCTTTAGACCCTGCTCTTTAAGTAGGAGATGTACATGCCAATGTGCACCCATAGCAAACAGAGTGTGCCACACACCTCATACTGGGTACACGGTGCTCTTGTGCACCCATCCACAGTACTGGGTGCCTTCAAACGACACTAGAGTGCAGTATTTTGCACCCAAATGATTTTATTGCAATCGAGTATGAATACCCGACCGCCAATATCATTTTTCAGCAATACATACGTGGCGATGTAAATCGCGGCCAACCAATAATAGCGGACTGTGTGGTGGAAGAAGGTATAGCATACAGGTGTGTGCATATGTGAAGTTCTGAGTGTGCCAAGCTGGACATTGCGTGAGCACATACATGTTTGTGTCCGTGCACCTATGAACATACGACCCATTTACATGGCGCCAAGAATTACTCTACGCAAAACATACTAACAAACTAACAAGGTGAGTTCACCATACCCACCACCACCACCACCCAAGCCCCCCCGGGTTGATAAAATCTCTAGGCATACAAACATAAGGATAGCCGCAACTGCCAGCCGCGACCAAAAAACCAAAAAAAAAAAAAGACTAATAAAAAGAGGCCATATGTTGATAGTGAGCACCTGAGACTGAACGTGTGTGCC